CGATATAACCGAACTCCACGCGGGCGAAGTTGCGAGCGGAAAGCTAGTATCAAATACAAGCGTTTTATAAATATAATGACACATATGTTACGTACGTGCTACATATTAAAAAAAAAAATAACATCGCGGGGGCAACATCGTTATATAGATATAACTATAAATTAAAATTTTAATAAAACCTCCGACCCAATTAAAAACATAAAGAGAACCAGTCAAGACAAATTCAACGAGTACAAACTCGATGGGTTTACTAAAAGACAGTCCAGGGTTACGTCTCCTATCTTCTAGCCCTAATAGCAGACCAGCTCATTTTCTCCAGAAGACATTAGTGTTTCAAATGTAAGATCCCACATATGCTTGCAAGCAAACTGTGTGTAACATTTCTATGACACCTAGTAAGTGACCTTGAAGACCTGAACCGATTTCCACCAAACATAGCTGAGAACACTCTCGACAGATATACCTTTCAAACAAAAAAAACGCATTAAAATCGTATAATCCGTTTGGGAGCTATGTTGGTTCAAACAGACACACACACGCAGACACGTCAAACTTATAACTTCCAACTATGTAGTTTGATTGTAATGATATATTTATGATTTAGTCAGTTATGGCCTATTGGTTAAGAGGCCCGTCTCTCATACACGAGGGCGCGGGTTCGATCCTGGCCCGGGCAAGTACCAATGTGATTTTTCCGAATTATATGTACTTTCTAACATTATTTAGACCTCACAGGTTAATGCTGATTCCCAAAAGATGAAGATATGAGCAGCACGAATACAATCCTCGAATTATTTTGATATATCGAAGCCAGTAATTAGCAATTTAGAAAAAATATTAATTTATTCCCAAAGAGGGTTGATGTCAGGCAGGCGACCGGTCGTAGAAAAATTAGCCAAAACTATTCACAACATGTAAGGCAGACCCTGGCTAAAGCTGGGAAATTGCCAGGTAGAAGAAGATATATTTATGACTCATATTACTTGAATAGGGAAATATATATAAACTAGTTTTATTCAAAGGAATATTGTAACAAATTCAGTGTTTATATTTCAACCTGGTGAATTTTAATATTATGTATTTAGCAGAGAGTAAAATGAGCGAGAGGTAAACCACCAGAGGTATAACAGCTAAATCTCTCTACAACCCACAAAAAGACTTGGGCCTGTCCAGAACTAATATCAATTCATTATTGGAACGTACTTCGAAGGCAGCCCTAGTAGGTTCTTTTTAAATTTGGTTAATAGAGAGAGGAGCTTGGACAGTGGAGGTGAGCGTTTAACGCGTTAGATAGGGTCCCTTAAACCTACACCTGGGTCACAAGTCCCAGTCACTGTTGAAGCTCCTCTCACTACAAAGATGGACCCGACACACGCATATGAATACATTGAATGATGAGAGGTTTCATCTTCTTCTCAATCTTCCGTTAACTATTCGTTATTGCTCCATGTTATTCACATTTCTGACGAAAAAAATAGTATTTTTATAATACAAAATAACATCAATTTTTTTAATGCATTTCAATTATAAAGTTAAAATTAAGAATATTGATATATTATTGAATTCTCGTAGTTTTTATTTTGTGTTATTTTTTTCAGTATAAAGACTACAATGTAAGCCGATTTACATTATATTAAATTACTGAAAACTTAAAAACATCGTAAGTATAGATAGCACCACACATCGCTTTTAAAAACTCATCTCACTTTATAAAACAAAAGTATAGAAGTATTATTATTTTTAAAAAGTACCTATTATTTTTTGCGAAAGCGCCTATATTAGACATTACACAAGTATCGAGATAAAATCATTGCTAATTTTATTTATAAGGCGCTTTAAACAATTATTAAGAACAACATGGTCATGATCTTGAAATTTTAATTATTTTGATGTGCATTTATATTCAAATCGTCATTTTCTATAAAACATTGGCTTTAATTCTAATGAAATTTAATTAGTTTAAATTCACCTCGAAAAGGAAATAAAGATATGGTTTTTCACATTTTGTATATTAAAAAAAAACTTCCTCTTTTTTTGTTTTAATAGTTACTTGAAAAATCACAAGAATTAATTTGAAGACAGAAATAATAAATGTATTGCTGACGGAGAATTGAATCATAAATGAAAACTGAAAAGATGAGTACCAGTAATTCTGCCTTGGTTCTTGTTCGTCACATGTTTCACTAAACTATTCACTAGATGTCGCTGTACCAATCGTGAGTCGATCCTACATCACACTAATAATATTTCTGTACGGTTCATCACTACTTATAAGTAAGACTGTTTTAATCACTCTGGTTTCCCTTCAAAACGTATAAATCTTTCGCCTTTTACTAAAGATTTCCGTGGAGGGGAACACTCAAATGAGTCTAAACTATATTTTTGAAGCCTCACTCCAAGTGAGGTTAATATACCATTGAACTTCTTAATATATGTATTTGTATCCGTCTTCGAAAAACATAACCATCGTGACTCAGCGATAGAATCAAAGGCGCTTCTTAAAAAATACAATACTATCGATAGTTAATACCTTCATTACTATAAAAGTATGGATATATGTGAATTATTATCGATTATAATTATCAGGAGTTATTCGACAGTATTGCAAGTAAATTCAAAGTGATGTATAAAATATAAGTAATAGAAAGTATACTTGTATTTTACATTGGTTATTAAATATTCCTAAGTACTTCCCTTATCATACCAATCAAATTAAAAGAGTGTGTGTACTGTACACGCGTTAGAAATTATACTTCTTTGGCGTATCGAAAAAAAAATAACTAAAATGTTGTAGTCAATAACGATAAATATATAAAAGTAATCAAAAAGATTTTATTTGAATAAAAATATTTTTTTAACGTAAAAATATGCCAACACAGTAAAAATGTTCAACCATTAATCATTAAGGCCATGAATCAAACATATTAATAAATATTACAAATATTTTTAAAGAAGTAAAATTTCAATAAATGTCTAAACATGTCATGAGAAATTCAAAACATCTACTGACACCAGTTGGGGTTCGAACCCACGACCTAAGCGTTTAGAGCCAATACTCAGTGGTGGCCTAGTGGTTAAAAGGCCCGCCTCTCATGCACGAGGGCGGCGGTTTGATCCTGGCCCTAGCAAGTACCAATGTGATTTTTCCGAGTCATATGTACTTTCTAAGAGTATTTAGACATCACTGATTAATGCATTCCAAAAGAGGGTTGATGTCAGGCAGGCGATGTCGTAAAAATTATTAGCCAAAACTATTCACAACATGTTCTGTAGAAGAGAAGAACGTACATAAAGTGGGTTCAGTTCAGGAAAAACAACCTCTAGGTCCTGGCTAATAATAGAATAAACGTTTACATTTAATAATCTTCAATGTACTAAAACATGGTTTAAACATATTGAAAACAAATTAATGACATTAACTTGACTGTATTTTACATGTAAATGAATGTTTGCAAAAATATACTGTGATGCATTATATCAATTTATTTATTAGAAAAGTTCTCTCATATTTAATTATATTCCTGATCCTAAACTGTACCTACATAAAACTTACTTCGCCCTTTTTATATTATTCGATTACTATTATAGAATTTTTGTAATAAAAATACTTGTTTTTAATAATAGTTTCAAGGGCCTTATAAATAAAATAAGCAATGATTTAGTTGATGGTTTACACTTTACTTGATAGTTATGACGTTATATGACGAAGGAGGGAAACGATTACACGGAGTACCTGATATAGTACCGTCGCTCAAAGAAATTCGCTAAATAGTTATGAGGATGTGTTACCTTTATTTGTGGAAGAGGGGGAGGAAAGGTTGTGAAAAGGGGAAAGGGTGGGGAAAAGGAAAGAGAGAACGCAACGTAGCCATTAGAAGCTACTTCACGCCGATATTCTGTGAGAGGGAGGTACTTCCCGGTCGAGCCAGCCCATGTTTGAGATGTAGTAACTTGACCACAGATAGGCTCTACCACCTATATATTATGTAATCAGCACTATATCAGTGCTAATGACCAGTAAATTTTGTTTAAGTGATTCTGCGAACTTCACCTTTCTTTCTTGACTTGGCTTTACAAATATTATTTATTATAAAAGATAAATAATTAATAATAGTTCGTTAAAATTACCTGATTGACATTGGTCGTGTACTTTAAACTCGCGAGTAAGCCATCTGGACTTTGGAATCAGTTGCAGTTTACAAAAAAACCTTGCGAATCGTAATAAATATAACAATTAATAGTTTGCTATAAAATATATATATAAAAGTTTATTATTGTGACACGAAATGTATATATGTATTTATTTCGTTTGACTAATTCTGTTCCTTGGATTTTGACAAAATTTAGTAATTACGCCTTCTTTTTGTGTAATATATTGTGTATGTCCAAATTGTTGACTTCAAATATTCTGACATAGTATTTTATTTTTGATAATATGTATTGTAACTTAATATTCACATATAAAACTATGTTTGCTTACGTCCTCTATGATATATTAATTTTTGGTGGCTCTATACATATGTGCCTATACATTTGAAGGGATGTCTTCTTGCCAATAATATTTTCATATATAAAGTACTAGCCCGCCCGCCCGCGTGGAGTTCGGTTATATCGCGTCTCCAAGAGAACCTTTCAAAAGTCTGGGATAAAAACTATCCTATGTTCTTTCTCGAGGTCACCTTTATCTCTGTACCAAATTTCATTAAAATCACTTCAGTGGTTTAGGCGTGAAAGCGTAACAGACAGACAGACAGAGTTACTTTCTCATTTATAATGAAGGGATTTTATTCAGCATTGTTATATCGTTATTTCACCTGACTCTGCCTTAATAGTCGACAACATAAAAAACCAGTATTGTTCTGAACGCGGTCGAGCTTGATTGATCAATTTATTTAAATCTCAAACTAACAATCAATATGATAACATTAATATTATTAATCGGAGTGATGATAGTTCTATACTTATATGGAACTCAAACCTTTAAGTACTGGAAGAAGAAAATGGTTAAACACGATAAACATGTACCGTTTTTAGGGAATAATGCAAGAGTTTACATTATTAAGATGAAAGCCACGCAGTTGAGTGAAGAGGTCTACTGGAAGTATCCCAACAAGCGCGTGGTTGTTTTCTATCGTGGCCCACGTCCGGAGCTGGTAGTGAGAGACCCTGAGCTCGTGAAGCGCGTTCTAGTCACCGACTTCGCTAGCTTCTATCCCCGCGGCCTCAATAGACATCGGGAAATAGAGCCGCTGCTTAGGAACCTGTTCTTTGCTGACGGAGATCTATGGCGACTGTTACGGCAGCGTATGAGTCCGGCTTTCAACAGTGGAAAGCTAAAGGCCATGTCCCCTTTGATTGAGGAACGCGCAGAGCGACTAAGATCAAAGCACTGCCAGCCTCCGCCAAAGGCGCTGTAGATATAGAAGACTTCAAAGCACGCTACAACATCTATATCATAGGAGCGTGTGAGGTTTGCCTCGTTTGTAACTCCCTCCAAGACGAACTCAGCATTCCATAAATTCGGCTCTAAAATATTCGATATACCCATAAGATTTTATATTGTCAGTCCTCAAACAGATGTTCCCAGTACAGAGACTTTATTTCAATGTAGGAGTATCCCTTCATCATCACGACACCGAGGATACTGAAACATTATACAGGAAAGAAAACCCTGGGTCTGTCATGAGTTGACCTTACAATACATGAATAGACTCCATATTGGATGTACCTCGACTAACAACTAAATTTCTAAGAGTATTTAGACACCACTGACAGATGAAGGAAAACATCGTGTGGAAACATGGACTTATATCAAATTATAAGTTTGAAATCAGCAACCCGTATTGAGCAAGCGTGGTGATAAATGCTTAAACCTTCTCCATGTGAGAAGAGGCCTTTGCTCAGCAGTGGGCTCTGATAGGATGATGACGACAAACAACGTGAGGTCGCGTCTACAAAATACATACGGCGATATAAGTTACTTTATTAATAAACCAAAATATAACAGTATCAGCGTTACTTGTGATATATCAATGAAAACATGGAGACTAGTAGTATGAATGATGTAGTTTGAAGAAGCAAAACCTTTATATTGCTACTCATTATATTAGAATCAATAATTTATATATATATATTATAAAGTATATCCTTTAACTATTTTTATTATATAATGGGAAAGTATTTTTGTAACAACTGTATTCATTATTAAGTATGGTAATACAATAAATGTTCTTGGTTTATATTTATAAATGTTTTTTCTTTGCAAACTAATATTGTTGATTCGTTTTAGTGCAATCATAAATTTGATTTTTGAATCGCATCTTGTATACTCGTTAATTTACCTAAGAGATCCTAACAACTCACAGTTATATGAAGGAACGTAATTTGTGACAGAGTTCGACAAATGGTGGTCACTCAATTCAGTAGTCACATTCATCAATTTATAATACCTATCAGAAGACTAGACTAGACTAGAAGAATAAGAGTTTAAATTTAAACCTTTACTACTTTCTGATGACTAAACTATATTATTGAAACGTATCATCAAAATCAGTTCAATATAATTTTACATAATATGTATAGCAAGAAATATGCATAAATATTTACAAACTTTCGCAAATATGAAAATAGTAAGTTTTAAAATTATTCGCTTTTGTAAAGTAAAATGACAGTCATGTCTTTTTTAAGACTGTGTTTAAAAAAGGTTACTGTAGCTAAAACAATCGTAAATCTATACTAATATTATAAAGCTGAAGAGTTTGTTAAAAGCGCTAATCTCCGAAACTACTGGTTCCAATTGAATAATTCTTTTTGTGTTGGATAGTCCAATTATTGAGGAAGGCTGTGGGCTATATAACATCACGCTACGACCAATAGGAGCAAAGATATAGTGGTAAATGTGTAAAAAACGGGAGAAATTATTTCATCTTTGAGGCCTTCCGTGCGTGCGCCGTGAAAACGGTTCAAGATACACAAAAAATATGTATTAAAGAATAATAGCTCTTTTAATGATCTAAAAAACAGTCCAGGATAGTATATGTTTATTTTTTAAGATTAACTCACAAAAACCGTTTTTATGGTACCTCATTTGGTCGAAATAATTTTATAAAATCTTTATTCAAATAAACAAATATATATGTTGTTGGTTAAGAGTACTTCATTGCGAATTAAAAAAAAACATAGGTTTTATCCTGAAAACTCTACGGGAACTCAACCATTCCGAAAACCTCGCAAGAACGGGAACTTTGTGGGAAGAACCAAAAATCTGCCGGAAGTCACTATTCCACGCGGACGGAGTCGCGGCAAAAGCTAGTTATAACTAAAGAGATATAATGACACATTTGAAGATAAATAAAGAAGGTTTAATAGTTTCAATTCACCCTGAAAATGTAATAAAATTGTCACTATTTATAAACTAGTAAACCTGGCGAACTCCGTTTCGCCACCAGAAGGCTTTTATATAACATTTCGTTTGGTTATTAAAAGATGAAGAATTTTTTTTGTTTTATATTTGAAAAGGAACTTTTTTATCTCATTTCATAACAGTAATGAATTCATTTCGATTACAAAAATGAAGTGTTATTTAGTTGAACTTCTGAACTTGAAGTTAGTGAAAGTGAATCCAAAGTAGATACCGAATCGAAGCGTTATACGTGTCCGCAAATTATCCGTTTCATTGAAGTGCTCCTTTGTAAACCACATTTTTTGTTTTTTGTACTAACTTTAACTCAAATAAAGCGTATGGTATCCAAACTCGTGAACACGCAAAATATAACTGCCCATGTGAAAAACAATATTTTCTAAATTTATCCCGCAAATACTAAATGGTTTTAAGAGTTCTAACTATAAACACAATACCGGTTTGTCACATAAAATTAACTAAGCAGAGAACAATGAGTAGCTGTCAAACAATGTATCATGCACCGGCACTATTTACTTAAAATATTGATTTGTAGTATAATATGTTATGTATGATGGCGCTGTATGTGAAAAAAGATTTTCCCGCTTTTCTGTTGAAATTTTTTGTCATAAACCTCACGGAGCCCGAAACCTTTTCAACGAATGCAAAGCCATGGAAATTGGTTCTGAAGTTATAGCATCAGGATGGAAAATCGAACTTGTTTTTATATAGTAGATCTCTTACAAATATCTAATTCTCATCCATACATCATATCTGTCATTATACGTCTAACACGATGTTACTTATTTAACATTGATTGGTGAAACTGGGTCTAAGGCGTTTGATGCTCTGTTAGATGTATCGAGCGTCCCACCACGCACAAATGTCCGTTTAAAGGTCTTAACAAGCTACTTATATTAATTCCTGCTCTGGAGCTCCGTGTAATGGCTAACATGACTGTTAATGCATTGTCGAAACTCATTTGTCCAATCACAGCCCTGATTTCTTGTATCCATAGTAACGTCATCTGTTTTGTCAGTTTCGACTATTTCCTTGTACTTATTACTAAAGTGAATTAAAATTTCATTTAGTATGACGATTTTGTCTCCAGCTTTTCTTTGACGTTGCAAATTAACTTCTTTTTATCTCTTATAATTTGAACACATGTTTATATTCATAACACAATAATATATAACATAATTTATTGACAACACGATTTTGACAAGTTACACCTAGTAAATTGAAAAGAAAGCTTTTTGTGTGCTAAATGTATGCAACGCACGATATATAAAATTTGGTCGCATTAGCTTACAAGTAATGTATCGAGGCATATATACGATCAAAGTATGTATAAAGTGGTGCATCGTGACAAACGTGCCGTATTAAACGCTATAGTTTCAATTTGGTCGTCTTATAACAAGAACGAATAATTCGGTAGTCGGTCATTTGACATGACGTTTAATAATGCGTTGTTAATTTGTCATCATGGGACGTAAATATTTTAACAGACATTTATAATTTTGAAGGTTGGTTAGTAAATGCCATGTTTAGATTTTACAAGCATTGATTGGTGAAACTGGGTCTAATTCTTTCTGTGGATGTTAACAGCTATCTTACATTAGACATTGCATATAATATTAACAGAATGAAAAACCCTTTATGAAAAAGTATTATTAAACAATACATTATAAAAGCTTGTCCTTTTTGTATATGTAACCATATCTTTAAGATTTTATTTCAATATCGTCACTAGTAGTCAGTGGTGGCTCAGTGGTTAAGGGCCCGCCTCTTGTCGCCGAGGGCGCGGGTTCGATCCTGACCCGGGCAAGTACCAATGTGATTTTTCCGAATCATATTTACTTTCTAATAGTATTTAGACATCACTGATTAATGTTGATTCCCAAAAGAGGGTTGATGTCAGGCAGGCGGCCGGTCGTAAAAACAAATGGCCAAAAACTATTCACAACATGTAAGGCAGACCCTGGCTGTAGCTGGGGAATTGCCAGGTAGAAGATCGTCACTACATCAGTAATGCCGGATTCATTTATTTTTGACGGTAATTTTTTATACCAAAATACATACGTATAATATATCAAACAATTCATTTATAATTTACTATTTTATCCTTGGAGGAGACCTTTTAATCACTTATTCGTTTAATAATTTGTTTGTTTTTAAGTTATTTATTTATTTTATGTTACTTTCCAATTAATCACTATTAACTTACCTTCAGTTTAGAAATAAAATGCTTTTTATTATTTTATTTCTTTAAACTCTTGTAGTGAATATTTGCTATGTTAAACCTCCAGGCGTATAAAATGTTCTAGCAGTTCATTGTTAAGTTAGTTTTTTCTAAGTATCGATTTATTATTTTATGTGTGAATGGTAAATACGAGTATAAGTTTGTTTATAAGGTTTGCATCACATATTTTTATGACTCCGCTGCTATTTACAATAGGAAAAAATTAATATAGAGTGAATTACGTACGCGGTACATATTAAAAAATAAATGAACATCGCCGGGGCGACATGGTTGTATGTATAAAATATATAACGAGTGACGCCGCTGACTCCGCGGAACGAACACCAAGCCGTGTGAACCAGAAGATTCCTGATACACACAAGCTATGGAATGGTATTGCTATCATAACATCGGGACAATCATGTAGTCTTAGGTGTAGGTTATAAGTTTTAATATGTAGTTTTTATTATAATATAAATATAAGTAAGTTTCGTAGTTATCCTGGAACCTCCGGTTACCCTATATAATTAATTGTTACCCGGAAAATTGAAAGAACGTAAACATGTACCTATGGAAATAGATGACAAAGATTTCTATACAAATAAAATTTGTTAAATAATATTTAGTTTTCATTCAGCCTTCCTTTAACTAAAACACTTATGAATATTCAGACCGCACATAATACTCACAAGTTTTACACAATTCGTTTTTTATGTTATATAATGAAGTAATTAATAAATATCCTCTTTTTAATTTAACACGACTTTACTTATTTTGCATTTTCATACATGCTCTCTGTGCCGGGAGTTCGCTATTTGGGCGTTATGGTCTAAAATTAATAATAATATAGGTATAAAAGGTGAATTTCATAACTAGAAGTTCGAGGGAAACTATGATACTTACTTATATGTATATTATAACTAGTTCGGTTATATCGCGTTTCCAAGAAAACCTTTCAAAAGGGATAAAAACTATCCTATGTTCTTTCTCAAGGTCAACTCTATCTCTAAGCGTAACAGACAGACAGAATTACTTTCGCATTTATAATATTATAGTAGGGTTAAGATATACTAAACTAGTGTTTGCCTCTGACTTTGCGTCAGTTTCAGAACTCTATTCCTCCTTAAAGACAGTAGATAAGAAGATTTTGGTTTTTTCTTTTTCAATCGCGTGAAAAGTATACGTCTTTTCTATGTTCTAATCTATCTCTCCACCAATTTTCAACCATATCCGTACAGTCGTTCTTGAGTTATAAATAGTGTAACTAACACGACTTTCTTTTATATATAAAGGAATAAAATAAAACTTATAAACTTTACCTAAAACTATATGACTAAATGTATATTTATTCGATTACTCGTGTTACCACATCAAAATTCTGGTTCATTAGGCCAAGCAGCCGTTGCGCGGATTCAACAATGGTAGTAAAATAATTGTATTTTATACATACAGCTATATTCCTCCGGCGATGTTTGTTTAATTTTGAAAAATATTTGCATATTAAAACTTATACTAATCATGTTTCCAAAAAAATATCAGACATCTGTTGTTATACGATCTAAAAAGTTGATGACAAATAATATTAAAAAATAACTAAAACACACTTTTGTATCAAATACTGTCTTGTTGGGTATCTTAACTTCAATCCTTCCTATTACACATATACCAACGAACAACAATAGTGTAGGTTGAAGTCAGTGGTGGCGTAGTGGTTAAAAGGCCCGCCTCTCATGCATGAGGGCGCGGGTTCGATCCTGGCCAGGGCAAATACCAATGTGATTTTTACGAGTCATATGTACTTTCTAAGAGTATTTAGACATCACTGATTAATGCATTCCCAAAGAGGGTTGATGTCAGGCATAACATGAAAGGCAGACCCTGGCTTTAGCTGGAAAATTGCCAAGTAGAAGAAGAAACAATATACAACACATATACATATGTAGCATTACTATTCGTGTTTGCTGAACAACAAAAAAAAATAAATACTATTATTTATGCCGAATAAATTTTTGATTTTACATTATAACCTATTGTACTACTGTAATATTTCAAAGTCGATATAAGCAATGCCAGTAATAAAATTTAACAAATGACTCTTTAGGGATACGTGTATTTGAGTGTATCGTTAAAAATTGTAAATTAAATATTTACAGATAAGACTTAAAATTTATAATATTAATGTATTCAACAAAAACATAAAAAATTATTAGCAACTAGCTGACCCGGCAGACTTCGTATTGCCTCAATCGATAAGTAAATAAATTCTCATTATTTTTTTTCAGTTTACCTCGAAGCCATAAATCTCCGTGTTCTGAAGTGCGACAGAATGATTGACATATTAGTTGGCTGTCAAATCTAATGTCAAAAAAAGCGTTTGTATGGGAAAAAGAAAAGGATTGTTTTTTAAGGTTTTCATCGAAATGAATAATTTTTTTTCAGCTTTTAAATCTTCCCTGAAGTTCCACGAACATTTCAAGACTAAGATAAGATAAATCCGTTCAGCCGTTCTCGAGTTTTAGTGAGACTAACGAACAGCATTTAATTTTTATATATATAGATTAGGGTTCTGCTGTTGTTGAAATAATATTAAAGACATTAATAAAATATAGTTCTAGAAAAAATATTTCATATTTATAATATGAGAATTATAAAATAATTTACTCTATTTGATAACTAATCTTTTATTTGTATTTAAAAAAAAGTTATAGAGAAAAATATTTAATATTTATCGTTACTTTCTAATAAACCTCTAATTGAGGGTAGTTCAAAATAATAGGTTTCACCCGCATAACCAACTACGTAGCTACTTGTGTATTGTGTAAGTGTAGTAACAACAATGAGTGCCTTATATTATGAAAATCTGTTTTATATTATGAAATGGAGAATTCAAGATAATTTTGGACTTAAAATAAGGTGTGATGAAAAATATAAAATATAAAATCATAATTTTCGCATCGCCGCAGTTTTGTGAAGTGTAACCTAGATATGTTTAAAAGATCATTATTCTTTCGTCATTGCAGAAATTTTCCGCAGACAACACAGTCTTTGGTGAGTGATTTATTGTCATTTATAAATATTTGCAGATTATGCTGTTTCCTAGTAAAGAAATCATAATATTGCGAATTATATTACGATGAAAACTTCTTGCGAAATAGTTATGGTATATCACCATTATTGCTAATTAATTTTGGACAGCAGAACATTTATTTATTGGATATTTCAAGTCTTTCTATGCCATTGATTCTGAAGATACAGATGCCTTCACAGACATCATGTGATATAATTATTGCGTAATTTTAATCATGAAAAAACAGTTATTGTGCCGCAAATTGTATTTTCATAAAGAGGACTACAAAAAATTAAGCATTTTGTTAAACAGTCATATCCTTTGGAAGCCAAAACCACATCAAATTCTCTTTAATTTCATTATATTTTAAATCACAATTATTTGAGTCTCGTTTTGATCTAACTTGGGATCATTCCTGAAGATGTCTTTAGTTTATGGTAGCTATGTACCAGTAGTATCCTTATGTGATTAAAATCAGTTGAGAATTTAGAAGCAACACGACGAAATGGATTGATTAAAGAAAAAAAAAAGAGTTATCGTTCGATAAATATATATACATATATGAACAGGCTCGTTTATTTGGCAAATTAACATAAAAACAATTTGTCTTTAATTAAAAAAAATATGTTTTTCTGAGACTATTTCAACAAAGTTATACACATACGTAACATGTCATAAATTTAAAAATCACTACTTTTTTCGCTTATATTACAATATTTTATAACTGTTCTGTTTAACATGCATTGTGTTGTGTTTTCAGTATAACAGAATAATGTTTATTGATTAAAATTTACTTTTAAATTTTTTTTTATGCAAGGTTAATTACAAATTATAAAGTTAAATCATTTTCATTAATAATGTTTTAAAATATCAGTCAGTATATAAAAAATAATGAATCAAACAAAAACGAGATTAAAATATGTTTTTGCTTAATAATAATTAAAGTTTATAAGCAAGTTTTTGATACAGCAACGATTTATTACATGTCAGTTAAAATAAATTAATGTTTACGAACTTTAAAATTGTGGTGTTGATGTAATTGGTAATTTTTATTTAATTTCTAATATTATTTTAATTTATTTCAAATAATAAATTGTGAATATAAAGGAATTTTCCTTTTCATTCTCCTAAACAGCTTATATAATTTGGAATAAGAATTAGGACAATATAATACTCCTGTTTCAGATAAGAGCAAAATGGTGGACGTAGTAAATTATTATGCGGGCAAGTCCATCTTGATTACCGGGGCTACTGGTTTCATGGGGAAAGTGTTGATGGAGAAGCTTCTCCGTTCTTGTCCGGATATAAAGACTATGTATATTCTGGTGAGGAAGAAGAAGGATCAGACAGCAGAACAGAGAGTTCGTAATATTGTGAACTGCAAGGTGAGAACTTGTAAATACTTCTTTATTTTTGATGTACCATTTTTTCTAATGTCTCATGATCATTGTCTTTTATTTGCAATATTATTAATAGGACCAGAACATTTATCAGGTGAGATAATAATAATTAGGAGTTCCAACTTCGCATTATATTTTCGATTCGCTCGAAAGAAAATCTCTCTAAATGAAGTAACCTACGTAACTATTTAGCTACCGAACTGTTTTTTGGGAAACAAATTCCGTTTTCTGGCCCTAAAAATTAAATTAGTGATCAGATACAAATAAACAATCTTTTTTATAAAATACAACACAGACAACTGGGCTATCGAACGAAAAATATCTAGATATTTGATTGCCTACACTACGTGTAGGAATTACCTGAATTCCACTTTTTAATATAGACCATAAAAAAATGGATAAAAACAATAAACAATGGATTTAATATTTCAGTTATTTGAAAAGCTGTTGGATATGAATCCTAAAGTCCTGCATAAAATCAAAGTTATCAATGGGGACATAATGGAAGAAGGTTTGGGTTTATCCCGACAACACTTAGAGGAGTTGCAAAACGAATGTCAAATAGTCTTCAACAATGCCGCATGCGTCAGGTAAGCTAACTTTCAATACTTATTAGTTGACAGAGATAGTATACCTTTACATAAAAACATATTAAAACTAACTAGTTGCTTACTTTTATTCCAAATATATGTTTATACAAAATTTTAACTAATTCGAATAACCAATAACGAAAAATTTGGTTGGAGTTTTACGTGTTTTGTCAAAAATTTACATAATCTTTTCCGTCGATAATATCAAAACATTTTTTCCCATATAGACTTTGAAATTTTGTCTAAAAATACTCAAATTTTATAAAAAACTTGGTGAAATATAGTAATTTTACATATTTTTATTTCAGTTTCAATCTATCCTTAAAGGATGCTGTAAAGACGAATGTTATGGGTGCCCAAAAAGTATTAGCGATTGCAGACACCATGAAAAAATTGGAGGTACATACATGTATATGTTAATATATAGTTTTTGTACTTTATAATTATTCAATTATTCAAACAGTAGTTCATAAAAAAAGTTCAGTTAAGACTTGTTTTATAATGTGTATAGTAAAAATAGTGTATATATTCATCTGACAAAGAAATTTGAATTGTTTTTTAGCGATAATCTTATGTTAATAATATTTATACATTCGATTCAAAGACACTTCTTTAAATGTAAAGTGTATAATTATATCACCTTATGGATATAATTATTAACTGTTAACAAAATAACTAATTTATAATATATAGTCGTGAAGGCCTAGAGATTAAAGGTCGGCCTTTCGCGCATGAAAACGCCGGTGTTAAACCTGGCAAGTACCAATGTGATTGTTCCGAGTCATATGTACTGTCTAAGAGAATTTAGACACCACTGACTGATGAAGGAAAACATCGTGAAGAAACTATGACTTATAATATCAAATTTTAAGTTTGAAATCGCCAATCCGTCTTGAGCAAGGATGGTTATTAATGCTCAAATCTTCTCCATGTGAGAAAGAGGTCTTTTGCTCAGCAGTGGGCTCTGATAATCTGATGATGATGATAAATAATATCTCTTCTTTTCAGGCTTTTATTCACGTTTCTACCTCATTTTGTCAAGATCATCTTAAAGTTGTTGAAGAAAAGGTATACCCAGCACCGCATTCGCCAAAAAAAATCATTGATATAATCAGTTGGATGAGTGATGACACCCTCGCGATTCTTGAGAAGAAGTAAGAACTTTTATCAGAGGAACAATTTTAATTCTAGTTTTCTAAAATTTTCTTTTAATATTTCGAGTATTTCTGATCAAAAAACAGATAAGGGTCACGCGTCAAGTTAATCATAATTTATTAATATTTATTTGTCTTTACATTTTCTTTTGTTAATTTTGTTATTGTTTTTCTTTTTCAGACTAGTGCCACCGTTTCCCAACACTTACGGCTACACAAAATGTCTTACAGAGCAATTAGTTGCAGATCATGCTGCAATATACCCTGTCGCTATAGCTAGACCATCAATAGGTAAAATATATATTAAACTAGCTGCACCCCGCGGTGTTACTCGCGGATTTTCGGGATGTAAAGTAGCTTATGTGTTATTCCTGGACGTCAGCTTCCTGTATACAAAATTTTATCAAAATCGGTTCAGCAGTTTGAGCGTAAAGAAGTAACAAACACACACACTCACAAACTTTCACAATTATAATATTAGGGACAAGTGTTGAAATATTATTATGACAAATTGAAAAAGAGTGGTGATTTAATTTATTTTCCATTCTAGTGATATATTTAGTATATTTTCGTTTATTTTCTATAGTGATACCAGCTTTTAAGGATCCTATGCCTGGCTGGGTGGACAATATAAATGGACCTAACGGGATAATGTACGCTGCTTCCAGAGGTAAATGTTTTATTTATCATCTAAACGGATAAATAATACTCGTAGTAATATAGAAATAAATCTCGACTTATTTATTATACTACGTAGTACTAGTGATAAAAATCCTTATGGGCCACAAGGTGTTGAAAGTTTACCGTAACATAACGCAATGATTATCAAAATACTCATCGACAAAGTGATTTTTAGTTCAGGTAAATGAAAAACGAAAGACATGACATTATATATCAAACTCCTGTTTAAAAGAAATAGCAATACTCTATCGTACATAAATGCGGCAAAATAAGACGATACTAAGTCATGAACAATAATAATTAAGGAATATAATGCCATATTAATTTAATATATTATTTTCTTTAATTCAGGCGTACTACACACTATTTACTGCAAGGAAACAACAATGACAGATAGTATACCTGTTGATATGGTTATCAATGGATTGATTATTCTTGGATGTCTGACTGCAACTGAAAAGTGAGTTACCTGAATGATGTATGCTTTAAAAATCTTAATAGAAGTATAATTATAAAGATATTGAAGCCTACTGCTGCGTAAATGCCTCTTCTCACCTAGAGAAAAGCGTTAGACCACGTTTGCTCAAGACTGATTGAAATTTCAAACTTATTAGTTCAAATTATAAGTCCGTGTTTCCTCACGATGTTTTCCTTCATCTGTCAGTGATGTCTATATACTCTTATAAAGTACATATGACTCGGAACAATCTCATTGGTACTTGTCAGGTTTCGAACCCGCACCCTCATGCACGAGAGGCTGGCAATTACCTCTAGGCCACTACTACTAAGTTTAGTTCATTTTGATGATAATTCGCAAGAAATATAAATGGCGAAAACGAAGTTTTATAATGTATATTACAAAATATAATTATCTATAAGCCTTATTATTAAGAAATTGCGTTTTACGTAGGTGTTTTTAAAGAAAAACAATTAAACACACTAAGAGTTTGTTATACAGAGAAGTTACTTAAAAATTTGAAATCAATTTACATTTTATTTCAAAAAAAAAAATTTGCTATTATTTGCAACAGTCCAAAATTTTAATAAGAGAGTTTTAGTCAAAAATAATAATTTTTGAATATCAAAAACCTCAAAAATGTTGTTCTAAATCACTATACAATTCTTATCATATCAATATTATTATGATAATAACTGTATAGAAATATTACAGAGTAGGTAAAAAAATATAATTTTGTCACTTTAAAATCTATTGAGATGAAAAAAATCATCCCAATTCTGAAAGACTAGCCTATTCATATGTTAGAAATAAAATAATTTTATTAAATTAAATAGATGCTTCAAAGTATGTCATTTTAATAACTTCAAAGGCAAAGCAGCCCCAGTAGGTTCTTTTCAAATTTGGTTAATAGAGAGTGGAGCTTGGACAGTGGAGGGGTGCGTTTAACGTTAGATAGGGGTCCCTTAAACCTACACCTGGGTCACAAGTCACAGTCACTGTTGAAGCTCCTCTCACTACAACGATGGACCCGACACACGCACCGTGAATACATTGAATGATGAGAGGTTTCGTCTCTCTATATATATTAAACCTACACCTGGGTCACAAGTCCCAGTCACTGTTGAAGCTCCTCTCACTACAACGATGGACTCGACACACGCATATGAATGCATTGAATGATGAGAGGTTTCATATCTTTAATAATGAATATATTTCAGGTCAAAGGAAATCCGTGTTTGCAATATTACTCAATCCGGGGTCAACGCCATTACTTGGTATAAGGGTTCTTTATTGTGTACGTATTTCAAATACTATATACCTAATATTTTTTTAAAGAAAATTGTGCATAATTAACAATCAACAAATAAAAATATATATTATAATGAGTATATTTATATAAAATATTGTATTTAATATTTTTTTATATATAAAATTCTTGTATCACAATGTTCGTTCCCGTATTCCTCCGAAACGGCTTGAACGAATCTCATTAAATTTTTTGAGCATATTAACTAGGTCTGAAAATCGGCCAACAGCTATTTTTCATACCCCTAAGTGATAAGGGTTGTTCGCCTTTAATTATTTTTAATTTTCATTTTTTATTTTTTATAATGTAGCATTAAAAATACATACAACCCTATTTTTTGGTCGGGTCAGCTAGTTAATTATAAATATATAAGTAATTATCATTATTTATTCGCAGGGTCTGAATATTTAATGAAATATCCATTAACCAAGTGCCTCTGGTATCCAGTGGTTAAAGCCAAACATTACGAATGGGAGCAAAAAATTGATTCATTCTTCGAACACACATTACCAGCCCATTTAATTGATTTTCTGCTCATGTTGTTCGGACAAAAGACATTGTGAGTATTAGTTTATTTTACGAAGAAAGAAATTATAGTTATACTTGTTCCATTAAATTTCTATGCCTTGAATTAGCATTTTAATACTTATTACGCAGCCCATTTGTGAGTTTGCTTATAATTTTTTTTCTACCTGGCAATTTCTCAGCTTCAGCCAGGATCTGCCTTACATGTTGTAAATAGTTTTGGCTGATTTTTTTACGAACGGCCGCCTGCCTGACATCAACCCTCTTTGGGAATGCATTAATCAGTGATCACTAAATACTCTTATAAAGTATATATGACTCGGAAAAATCACATTGGTACTTGCCAGGGCCAGGATCGAACCCACGCCCTTACGCATGAGAGGCGGGCCTTTTAACCACTGGGCCACCACTGACTTTTATAGTTTGCTTATAATTATATAGTTCTAATTATAAAAATATACGTATACCATTATTATGGTAACGAATTATGTATTTTTTACCTTCATTGTATAATATTGATTCAAAACTTACTTTTTAATATAAGCGACATCTATGTTATTAGTGTTGAACTAAATTTGACAACAAAATTTTACAAATAACATTGTTTATTTTCCTCTTTTGTTTCTTTTCGTTGTTTTTTCTAAATATTTTTCGTTTTATAGTATGACAGCCGTTAATAAACGAGTCACAAGCGGTTTAAATCTCCTCCAATACTATTGCAACAGAGACTGGGATTTCAGAAATGATTATTTCAGATCATTTAAAAATTTAATTACCAAAAAAGACAACGAAATATTCTTCACTTCTATGGAGGTAATACTTTAATTAACATACAATTTTATTTACATTTCATAGCTGTAGACATGATATTCATAAAATTTAACGAAATATCAAAAGAAAAATTGATTTTTGAGTATTTTCACTTATTGTTATTATAAATTATTGATATTTTCTCAGGTTATTGACCCGAAGGCTTATATGGAAGTGTACGTACAAGGTTTAAGGCAGTATTACTGTAAAGAAGATTCCTCAACTTTACCCAAAGCTAGAAAATTACTAAATTGGTAAGATTTTATTCGGTTAATATTTTTACATTATAATTTATAACTAAACTCATTTATATATGTAGAGGATTTTAATAAATGAAGATTTTAAAATATAATGTTAATAAAATTAATATAAATTTAAATTAATTTCCTCTTCGTTTAAAATAATGAAATATTATAAAGAATTGAGAATTATTCGCTGTCTTTACATTACTGAGAAGAAAGAAATTTTTATTTACCATAATAATGATTAATTTTGATTTTGAATAATAATTTGAATTATATGTTTTTTTTTCAGTTTATACGTCCTACACTTATTTATGATGGGATCAATGTATTCGTTTTGGATCTACTTATTTTATAGAATAGGGAGCGTTCAAGTATTACGTAACGCAATTTCGGCGGGAGGGGGTGTCTCTTACAAAACGTTACGTAGCATTGTTTCTAAAAAAAAATATTAATAAAAACCCCCAAACTGGCAACTCTTTTCATATACGTTACATTATGTTGACCAGATTGTATTAGTCGGGTCGATATTTTTATTTGTTATTCCAAGTTTGCAAACCTCTTAATTAATATTTTACGGGGAATACCTAGATTGCATTGTAAGTCTTTTAATGTTGCTTCCGTGGTCAGTATTCGTTAGTGTTTATCCGTGAGTTCATATTATTGTTTATAGTGTAATTTCTTCAGAAGAGGGAGATTTGTGTAAATAATCTTTTTTCATTTAATAGATTAAAACTATACCAAACTATTACATATTGTTTTACGACTTTGGATGAAATTGATCACTTGAGTGTTACGTAACGTTTTGAGAAGGGGGGGGGGCTACAGAAAACGCTTCTGTGCGTTACGAGGGGGGAAAGGGATGTCAAAAATTGCGTTACGTAAGACTTGAACGCTCCCATATGTAATATAATCATGTAAAACGTATAATTTAGACTGAATAAATATTTTTTATTAATTTCTACTCTTTTTTTTACATTTACATATAAACTTTTTATATAATTGGTGACAGTTTTGACATAAAAAAGATAGATCGACATTGAACCGTTGTAAATTGTAATGTTTTGTTGATTATAAAATAGATAATAAAAAAATTAATAAAAATGTCTCTAGTACTACATTCAATAAAATTGTCGACGTTCTTAAAAGCGAAGAAAATCCCTTTAAAGAGGGAAGGAAAAGGGAGGAAGGAAAGTCGTATTTAAAAGTAACACATTGCCTTTTCGACATGGACGGTACTGTTTTAAGTGAGTTTTAAACCAAATATTTAACTGACTCAAATGCTATAACAAAAAAAATTACTTAGCCCTTGTTATAGTGTAACTTCTTTGATAATATTATAGCTAACAAAACTATATGAACTTAAAAATAATATTGTATACAATCCCTACTAATATTATAAATGCGAAAGTAACTCTTTCTGTCTGTTACGCTTTCACGCCTAAACCACTGAACTGATTTTAATGAAATTTAGTACAGATATAGATTTGACCTTGAGAAAGAACATAGGATAGTTTTTATCCCAGACTTTTGAAAAGTTCTCTTGGAAACGCGATATAACCGAACTCTACGCGGGCGAAGCTGCGGGCGGAGACCTAGTAGATAATAAATTCAGTATTTTATATTAATAGTCAGTCTAGTAACAATTCTGTCTGTGTGTCTCTAATAAATGTTAATGAAATTAATTCTATGACGCATATTTCAAACTGTTTATTCATTAGTAATTTATCATAACAAATTAATAGCTTTTATTATTTCTATACAAAGCTTATGGGATCACAAAAAAAATATATAATTTCCAGATTCTGAAGTTATGTATCATAAAATGATTGAAAAAATTTGTTGCAAATACAACAAGACGTACACAAAAGATTTACAGGTCAAAGTGAGTGAACTATATTGTTATAAATTAGTATAAAGTTTTGCATTTAAATGAAACAAATATTTTTCGGATTATTACATACGCATATTTTGTTATTTTTAATAATGTGGATTCACATCTTGTCTGCCCTAGACGACGGTTGCTGCAAAGTACCTAACCGAAACGTCTGAAGTATTTACTTAAAGATAATAAAATACACATAGTAATCCGAAAAAAAATTATCACTTAAATGAATACTCGCGAAAGTCGTAGTTTTTATATGTAATGTTTTGCATTCTAAACACGCATAATAACGCATTAAATATATACATATAATGATATATGTATATACCACCATCAAATTTATTGGTATATTATAGCAAAGTCAAATTTTATAATAATCATTTAAAGTTTATAAGTACTCCATGTCTCTTTTCATGAATAAATTTTACTCTCATTTTATTTAATTACTTTGTATTATTGTTATACAGATGTATGGTGTAACAGACAGAGAGATTTGCACGACCGTAGTTCAAGAGTTGAAAATGCCGATATCAATAGACGAGTTTGAGAGACAACTGAGCGATTTGGCGAAAAAATTATTGCCAAGTGCTCCTCTACAAGAAGGTATAAAGAACTTAGTGCAAATGAATCTAATATTTTTCAACTCGATGTGATCACGGTCGCTGAAATGTAACCGAAACGTCGGGAATATGCAGTTTTTTAAATAACAAAATATTTATAGTAATCCCGAAAAATATTATTAATGATGAATACTCGCGAATATCTTAGATCTCATTAAAAGTATATATGTTTTATCTATTTCTATGTTGAAATATTTGATCCGTTTGTTACGACTTTTGATTAGATTTCAAGGTTTTATTTCACTATACAGTGATTGATTAGGATTTGTATATGAATTTTGAATTTAAAATATTCTCTGTTATATATTACTCCATAATAATATATAAGTGATGCTTCTAATTCTGTATGATGTTTGAATTTGATATCGTTTTGCGTGTGACGCGGACGTCCAAAGTTCGTTTTTAAAGTACAAATCTATGTTCTGCGCTTGGTCACTAGATGTCGCTACTTATTGTCGGTAACCATATAATCTTTCTTATATTAGTTATTGCCTTTAAACTAGATCTTTAACATAGCCTTCAATTTTGCTATTGTTTCATCCATTTTAGGCGAGCAAATACACTATCACAACCTGTAATAATGTTAAAGTTTTCAAAAGTTATTGAATTAATTTTCGATATATAAGAAGAGAGTATAATGAGTGGATAAAAAGATGTTGCACTAAGTAAAAACACTAGTATAAGTGAGGAATTGCTTCATAACTATCAAATGTGCAAGTTTTTTCTATTTAAAATAGTGACAGTAGCAATAATAATCAAAAATTTGAACGTCGCGGTCAATGAACTATCGAAGGCAAAATTACCATGTGTGAATAAAAAAAGATTTATGCAAAATTTGATTCAATTGATTTGATTGGGTTCGATGTACAGATGTTGATAAAAATTATACAATATTTGTTATTTATTCAACTAATATAAATAAGGAGATTGAAGTTTTTCTTGAAAGGATTTTTCCGTTTCCGTTTATCTTATATCTTTAAATGAGCAATTCTTGTATATAAACCCATATATAATTAGAATCTCAGAATTGACTCTAACGATTTTCATGAAATTTAGTACAATGTAAAAAGTAATGTTTGTTTTGAGGTTAGACTAAGAAAATAATTGTTGATTTATATTGTTTTGTATCTTCTTAACGTGTTCATCTCATAATGCCTAAACGAAATTTAAAAAAACAAAATAAATACTAACAGCTCCTAAGTAACCATAAGATATTGTTTATTTATATAGAACAATAAATTTTGCTTTATAAAATCTAATTGATTATTATTTGTCTGCAAACATTCAACTTAAACCTAAAGCAGTTAATTGAAATTTCTAATCAAAACTATTTTATAATCGGAACCATTTTTAAATAACTGCTTTGTTTTATATGAATGTATATCTTGAAGGTTTTACATAAAATATATCAGATAATTATATGATTTTAATCCTGACTTATAATTTAATTGTATATTTTGTTTAGGTGCTGAGCGTCTTTTGACCCATTTGCACGACTGCAAAATCCCAATGGCTTTAGCAACTAACTCCACAGCACAGGCCGTCAGACTGCATGCTACAGCTCGACCGAAGCTATTTGGATTGTTCCATCATAAAGTTTGTTTTTTGGGTTATATTTATCTAAAGTCTAATGTATTATGTTCAAGCACTAATAACTGAGTTTATATCTAGCATATTGTAGATTTAAAATAGTAAAATTGCTTATGTTAGTCAGTTGAAACAAAAGTTATGCAGAATTTTCTTGTCCTATTAAGAGCCTACATTTTGTTCGTGATGATTGCTCTTTAAGGAATGTATTTTAACATATAAATGGGTCGTTTTGAAGTAATTTTTTTTGTAACTAAATAAAGCTATAATATACTTGTATAATATTAGGTAAGTGTAACTGACCCAGAAGTTGTTCGCGGTAAACCGTACCCCGACATATACATGGTGGCTGCTGCAAGATTTCCAGATAAACCTAAGCCGAAACAGGTAATTTCTATAATATTATAGAAAAAACAAAAACATAAAATATATAAAAAAAATTACTAAATTTTCATTGGAATCTTTTCCAAAATTAAACTAATATTTTCGGATTACTACTCGTATTTTATTATTTTTCAAACTACTCTAAACGTGTCGATTACTTTTCAGCAACCGTGATCACGGTAGTGCTAAAAATACGCATAGTAGTCGGAATAATATTAGTTTCATTTAAATGAATACTCGCGAAAGACTTAGATCTCAGTATCTTTTCCAAAATCTTTGTGCCGCAAAATTACTAACACTTACCAAACTCAATAAGAAGCCTTCAACTGTATGTATATGTATACCAAGTTTATCTAATAGTTAATAAAATTTCAGTGCCTCGTATTCGAAGATTCCTTTGTTGGTGTGAAATCAGCCGTCGAAGCGGGAATGCAGGTAAAATGAAAAGAAATCATTAATTTTTTGATCCAAAACAGTTAGACATCAAAATGATATTTGTTATTAAGTAGTTGCTGGTTTAAGTGATGTTTGTAATAAAACTTTGAAGAACTTAATATTAGTTGATATGGAAAATCCTAGGAAAAGGATAATTTTACTTCTTATATGGTGATACTGATTTCAAATTTATAATTGTGAAATTATAAGTTCAGGTTTCCTCACGATGTTTTCCTTCATCCGTCAGTGGTATCTAAATACTCTTAGAAAGTACATGTGATTCGGAGAAATCACATTGGTTCAGCCAGGATCGAACCAACGCCCTTATACACGAAAGGAGGGACTTTATCCACAAGGCCACCACTGACTTCGCTTGCTTGTTTATGCCTTGTAAATTAGAAATGGTAGATTATATGAGATTGTTTTTATTAATTCAATTTTATTATTCCCAGGTGGTTATGATACCGGATAGTCGCATCGATCGTGAGCAAACCCGACAAGCGACACTAGTCATACGCTCCCTACTAGACTTTCAACCTGAACTATTTGGCCTACCACCATTTGACGATACTCCAAGACCTTGTTCTAGAATAGAAAAGTAAACATTGATATAAATATTGTTTATATTTTTTATATTTCAATAAAGTTTATAAATGAATATTGTGAAAATTTTAAAAGAAAATTAATTTATTTAGTTTTATATTAATTTTAAAACTGTTACATGAAATAACTTTTGAATAAACGTTAATAAGAAATGTTTGGGATAATTATTATATTTGCTAATTGCTCAACCAAATGGAATAGAGAATATATGGGAAAATAAAAAAAAAAGTCCAGCAATAGAGTTCCGGTTTTTACTCAAAGCGGTCGAGACAAATTTCAGTAAGTCTGAAGACTTATATACAGGTGACTGGTGAATTACTATCCATATTTAAGGAGAATACTCGGTACATGATACTCATTCGAATTATGTAAAAAAATAGGTACTTAATTTTTGACCAAATTTCCGTATAAAAAAATAAAGTGCGGACACGTTCCAAGTGTTCCATGTATGGACGCGTGCGGCGGCGTGGTGATACAACACCACGCCCCCGCCGCGTGTGTTTGTGTGAGTGTCAGTGTATACCTAATCTGTAGGGTGTTCACACGATGCGTAATTAATTACATAACTTTTGGTTAACTTTACTTAGAAGTTTATTAATATTTATGTCATATTAATGTTTATTTTGTCATATATGATCGTCAAATATCACGTCCTCAAGTATCGATAGTAATTCACCAGTCATCCTGTATATACATTAATCTGTTAAAACTTGTTGCATTAGTTAACACCGCAAGAAAAAAAGACACACTACTCGCTTTTATTCGCCCAAAAATGTATTAAAAACAGCAATAGCAAACCTGCGTTTTTTATATGATCGAGGTCCGCATTACTCATAAACAGGTAGTGAAATCTCATCGTAGTCTTTACGTGAACAAAGATAGTATTTAGGTGTAATTAGAAAATGTTTCGGCATGTTTTAATGTCATTTATAGCACTAAACAAGGTCTATTAATCATATACAAATATCATAGTTAAACAAGAACACCCGGCGAACTTCGTATCGCCCTATAATCAAGAAATATCTGTTACGTTTTTTTATTTATATTTTTAGAGTTTACCTGTAAGCCATAAATCTCCGTGTTTTGAAGTGCGACAGAATGATTGACATATTAGTTAGTTGTCAAATCTAATATGAAAAAACGTTTGTATCAACAACTACTAATAAATTAAAAATTATTTAAAGAAACATTGTCCAGCGGACAAAATTGTTAATCTAAACCATTCCCAGATCCCCGTGAACACACATAAAAAATTTCATCAAAATCTGTCCAGTCGTTTGAGAGAAGTTCAGTGACACACACTCACAGAAGAATTATATATATATATATATAAAGATATCGTCAGCATAGACAGGGATAGTGTAAATCCGCGTATAGTGCGTTTGATTTAAGCTGAGCTTTGCATTTGTGTGAGTACATATAGTGTAGGTGTGATGTCAATATTTTGAATGCCACGTTCTTTTCTAGTTTTGAACCGGTTTATTCTGCTTTTACTTCGCCCCGCACCTTCCGCACTTCACCCTTTGTACTGGTAGCAAATCAAATGTTGAAAACGCAATGTCAAATGAATAAAAATTTGTATAGTATTTTAAAAAATAATATTTTTTTCCATAATATTCATAATATTTTCATCTGGACTTTTACAAGTTTTGCTTATTTTATAGCACTTATGTATCAAATTAAAATATAATAAAATTGAATTCTTAATGTTTTTGTCTAACTCTACTTTTACTTTCACAAAATCACACTCACGAACAGACGTCCTCTTTAACATTAAATAAATTTTATTGTGATATTAATATTTACGGGATATACACTTTTGCATTAGATCTTTTTGCCATCATACTAAGACATTAAAATAATTTTCATACAATACAGGGTGACTGGTGAATTACTATCGATACTTGAGGACATCAGTCAGTCAGTGGTGGCGTAGTGGTTAAAGGGTCCGCCTCTCGTTGCCGAGGGCGCCGGTTCAAGCCTGGCAAGTACCAATGTGATTTTTCGGAGTCATATATACTTTCTAAGAGTATTTAGACATCACTGACATACGGTGAAGGAAAACATCGAGAAGAAACTTGGACTTATAGTTTCACAATTATAAGTTTGAAATCACCAACCCGTCTTGAGCAAGCGTGGTGATTAATGCTCAAACCTTCTCCATGTGAGAAAGAGGCTTTGCTCAGCAATGGGCGCTGATAGGCTGATGACGGCGATGACTTGAGGACGTGATATTTGACGATCATATATGACAAAATAAAAATTAATATATCATAAATATTAATAAACTTCTAAGTAAAGTTAACCAAAAGTTATGGAATTAATTAGGCATCGTGTGAACACCCTACAGATTAGGTATACACACACACACACACACACACGTGCGGCGGCGTGGTGTTGTATCAGCACGCCGCCGCACGCGTCCACACTTAGAACACTTGGAACGTGTCCACACTTTATTTATTTATACGGAAATTTGGTCAAAAATTAAGTACCTATTTTTTTTACATAATTCGAATGAGAATCATGTACCGAGTATTCTCCTTAAATATTGATAGTAATTCACCAGTCACCTGTATATTTTGGGATCGTTTTCACACTAGGCCCAGCCTGTAAATTGCATTGTAAATTTTTTAACAAATTAATAAAACTCGCCGATTTTCAATCACATACCCTACTACATTTTGAATACTATAATTAATATTATAATTAATACCAATCTACTAAAGAGTCCAACGTACAATTTAAAATGTATATGAAAAAATTATTTATTATGTAAATTAATTATTCATCTAAATATTTAAATGATGTTGTGACCACAACTTAAATATAATTTCTTTCGATGTTAAAAGTATGTAGGCATACAAATCTTTGTGAAAAACTAACAAAAAAAAAAAGTAAAATGACATATACACATTGACACAACTATGCTTGACATAAACAAAATGGACATGATTTTGTACGGAAACACTGATGATTTTTTACAAATATATATTCTTTCAAAGTTTAATATTTATAATTTTACCTGAAATTTTAACTGAGAAGAATCCTGATTTGCAATTTGAATCGGGCCTGGATACTTTAACACCGTCGGCTATAGGTTTAAAATTTTATATAAATATAAATAACACATCAGAAAACGATTACGAAATTGAAATAAAACCTGACGAATGCTGCCTCGAGGATGGAAATAGATTGGATTGTGACTATTTACGGATCTTAGATGAATTTAGAACTTCAATAACTAATGGTAAGTATATAAATTAAATTGTTAAATATACAGGGTGACTGGTGAATTACTATCAATATTTAAGGAGCATACTTGGTACATGATTCTCATTCGAATTATGTAAAAAAATAGGTATTTAATTTTTGACCAAATTTCCGTATAAATAAATAAAGTGTGTACACGTTCCAAGTCTTCCAAGTGTGGACGCGTGCGGCGGCGTGCTGATACAACAACACGCCGCCGCGCGCGAGTGTGTGTGTGTGTGTGTGTATACCTAATCTGTAGGGTGTTCATACGATACGTAATTAATTACATAACTTTTGGTTAACTTTACTTAGAAGTTTATTAATATTTATGTTATATTAATTTTTATTTTGTCATATATGATCGTCGAATATCACGTCCTCAAATATCGATAGTAATTCACCAGTCACCCTGTATAGAAGATGATATAATTGTGTCAATTTTTACAGGCTCTACTAAAAATGTAAAGATTATAGCACCACTTCTAGATGTCTACGAAAGGAAAGGTCATTGTGTTGTTTATATTGATTCAAAATCCAACGCAAGTAAAATAAGAAGAAACACACTTACATTACGGTTCGATACGAAAAGTTCCAGTGGTAAAATAAATTTACCAAGAAACTATAAAGTTTGTAAATCAAAAGACGAAGATCCGTTAAATGATTGCCAGCCAGTCAATTGTGATACGTATTATAACAGCAGGAAGAGTTATTATAGCAAGAAGTATAAACGATGTGCTAGAACTCCTGCTTGTGTGTCCAAAGATGATACTGATACTCCCAATGTTATTTATAATCCAATAACAAATAAATGTACAGAAGAAGCTCTTATAAAGGAGGATCTGAGATATGTTAAAAGTCTAAGTAAAATAACAGATAAACTGCAAAAACGAAGAAAAAGTAAAGGCATCTTGATCATTACTAAAAACAGATCAAACGCCTCAAAGTTTTTGGATGATTCTGATTTTAATGACGAACCAGTGAAAACTACACCAAGGAAACATCCAAAAACTTTGTTAACACAACCAAAAACACAAACAAAAGTGTTCCAACACACAACCGCAATTATAAGTACTTTACAAGCATCAGAACAAGCTAAATCAAGAAGTGGCTGTACAAAGAAAATATTCAAAAAATATCTTGACGCTAACAAATGGACGTTCATTGTGCTCGGTATAGTCGTGACCGTGCAATGCTTTTTAATTTGCACAATGTTTTATTGTCTATCGAAAACTTGCAACTGCTTCAAAGACAAAAAAGTTGTACGGAAGTTTTTCTATCATGGCCACGACGCTTCTGTCACAACACCTCTAATTGGTACTAGTAATATTGACACAGAAACTGATTACCAATATGTAACAGACTCATCTAAAGTCGACCAAAAAATCAAATGTTACAAAGCATGTCAGAAAGAAATAAACAATGATATGAAAGTAAGTATGTCCGACGATATATTGTCTAAGTGCTTGAATCGAAGAGACTGGAAAAAACTTTCTAAATCTGAAGCTGTTGCTAAGGAAGGAGAGATTGTGCAAAAGATATTGGAAGAAATAAAAGATAACCATAACTCAAAAATAGAAGGCAATAAAAAAATTAGCGAAACCAGAGTAGTCTTCGAAGACGAAATTAGCAAACCCGTGAAACCAAAAGCTTCTACAATAAAAAGTATTAGGATTGTTGAAATGGAGAAGGAAAAAGAAAATGAAATTGAAAATCAAAATCAAAATCAATACGAAAATGAAAAAGAAATAGAAACAGAAAAAATGAACAGAGACTTGGCAGAAACAGTATCTGAAAAGGAGATAAAATGCCACAGTTATAACTGTGAATCTAATTTAACTGGATTTCAACCACACAAGAAGACGGGCTGTTTTAAATCAGAACCATCAAAACGAGGAACAATATCTCTATCAACTGAAAAAGAAGCTCAAGCTTGTTTCCCAAACGACTCTATAGACGATTTCTTATCTGAACGCGGTGTTATTTATTTAGCTGGTGAGAATCTTTCAAGGTACACCTTCCATACTGACTCTAAAGAAATTAAACTATCCAATACCTCTTCGATATCAAGTAAAACATCCAAAAATTTTCTCAAAAATGTCCTGTCTCGGCTTCGTAAGAAATCTAGACAGGGTCCATCTTCAGATCCCGGGCAGAAAAAAGAAATGGACCTCGAATTGATACATATGTCGAAAGCCTCTGTGTATTCATCAAGCAATGATTCAGACTGCGCCAAAATATTCAAAAGGAAGGAGGATTCTAGAACTTCATTTTAATTTATAAGACCTTTATAACTTTTTAGTATTTATTTTGTAGGTGAATTAAATATATTATTATTATTTCGCCTGATTATTTATCATGAGATTCGTGAATTAAATTAAAAGGTACAATTTCAATTGAATCATAAAAGCAGTTTTGACATAATAAACATTATCATAAATGTTGATGAAGTTAAAAACTCATGCTTCTTTAATGCAATTTAAATGACAGATATAATCTAGGAATGTAATCAAGGCTTTATTTAGCAGAAGGTTCTTTAAGGGTATGGACTATTGCAATTATTTTTCACTCCGCTTATAATCGAGGTTAGTACTATCATGATTTTAAGCCTCTTGAGCGAAGGGCTCTTCAAATCTTTCCCTAATATATGTTTAAGTCTCTATTCTATTTTTCATCTACCTGTTTATCTTTCCTAAAACCCTTGACTTTGTAATTTGGTTGTCCACCTTACTTATATCGCTATTTAAATTTTTCTGCTTGCTTTGATAACTTCTGTTACATTAAATTCGTTATTTGGTAAATACACTTCTCATTTTATGTATTTGCTACACGTTCAATATATTTTCCCATCGGCTATTTGGATTCTTTCTACCTTTTTTAGTTCTTCCATTAAGACCTAATTTTAGCAGACATAAAGCAGACAGGAAATAATGTTAATTTTCAACCATATCCGTACAGCCGGTCTTGAGTTATAAATAGTGTAACTAACACGACTTTGTTTTATATATATAAGATATATCTTAATCTATAGATTGCCTATAGTAATTCAACTGATTATTCTAAACAACACTTAATTTTAATATACAATAATATTTTTCACGATTTTATAGGCATCTATAGTTGCCATAGTATTTTCTTATTTAATAAAACGTAAAACAATTCTTAATCGAATTACATGTTCATCTTGTAATTTTATGTACACAATATAAACATATTTTTCGTGAATATAGATGAAATAAATTGTGATAATTAGAAATTATAAAATATTTTATTAATTTCATTTCATTTCAATTCCATTTCATTGTTTATGGGACACGTGGGGCAGTCACACGGCGGACAAATAGTTGACGAAGGCTCTGTAGGGACTGTTACGTATCGCTCGGGAGTTACCTATAACAAATTAACAATATATTCATTCAAATAGTTGCCATTAAACCCAACAAAATATGCTTTAGGCAGAAAAAAAACAAAGAGAAATTCTCTCATTAATCAGTATTATTTTCATAAGTTTTGTAAAAGATAAAAAATTTTGCAATATTAAATATCTTTTAGTTAGTTTGATAATAATTACCTTTATTTTCGGAAAGTGTATATTCCCTATTAGCTTAAATCTTGACAACGGACCTCTTGTGACGCATTGACACTAAAAGGAATAAATTACGACGACATAAAGAATAATATTCAGTATTCAATAGTGGTCTAGTGGTTAAAAGGCCGGCATCTTATGCATGAGGGCGCGGGTTCGATTCTGGCAAGTACTAATATGATTTTAGGAGTCATATGTACTTTCTAAGAATATTTAGACATCACTGATTAATGCATCCCCAAAGATGGTTGGTGTCAGGCAGGCGGCCGGTCATAATAACAATTAGCCAAAACCATTCACAACATGTGAGCCAGACCCTGGCTAAAGCTGGGAAATTACCAGGTAGAAGAAAGAAAAATAATATTCTGCGTCAACTTCATTCGCCTGTCCAATATCATTTGGCTTTATTTTTTGATAGTATTTAGTTTAATATTATTAAAATTATATACGAATTTTTTCAGACAAATAAAATTGTATCTTGAAATCGGATTTGGGACATATAAATATAATATGTTGTGCTACCAAAAATATACTTACTCCGGGCTAAAAATAAAAATATGTGAAATAAGTATTTTTAGTATTAACATATTTTACTTAGTTTCTATTAAAATATAATAATATTTGATACTTACAATCTGTAAATTTAAAACAGCGAAGTTTAGAGGTTTATTCAGATTGAAAAATATATATAAACAATATATTGAAAATATAAAAGGTAGACAAGTAAATACTTCAATTTTAAAGACCTTTCTTTTTGATTAAATATTTTATTAATTTGAAGTATTTTCTTTATGTTATTCTTTAACTTAGCAAAGAAAAATATTTGTTCCCTGAATATTTTAAATCATATTAAATATTATACAAAGTATTTTACTTACAACTGGTGGCTAAAGATTCAGTATTAAATAATATTTTAATTATAAATATATATAATTTTGTATATTTTAATATTCTAGTCTAAAAAAATACTTACATGAGTCTAAAATGAAATATGAGTGTAAAAAATTCATAAAAATTTTAACAATATTTGTAGTTGTATTTAATATTACAATACTTGTAGTTTAATATTAAAAAAATTACTCACGTAATACTGTAATATAGATATATAAATGAATATAAATATTTAATTTTTATTTAATTACCCATTAAATAATGAATACTAACCGTTTGCTGTGATAATAAAAAACAAAAATTAATAAAAGCCAAATCACACAAAGATATTCACAACATGTAAGGGAGACCCTGGCTAAAGCTGGGAAATTGCCAGGTAGAAGAAGAAGATTCACATAAACTTACCCATTCCTGAAAAATTTAATTATGTTATAATTTTTTTATCATTATTAATAAATAATATTAATTTATATATATGTATTACCTCAGTCTGTAAAATTTTAAATCACCAATTAAAGAAATATAACGCTTTTAAAGATATTTATTTGATACAATAAATAAAAAAATATTAGATATTTTCTTACCACGAGATTCTGAAAAAAATATTGTTTTTTTATAATTCGGTTAAAAAAAATTTGAGTAATATAGATTTTATATATTGTAATTATTTTAATTTTAAGTAGTGGTGCTTAATAAATTTTATAATTAAGATGCTTAACATATAGATACAAGAAATAATTTGAAAAAAGCAAAATTGTGAAGTATATGAACAGTACTTACAAAAATCTAAAGAAAAAATTAACATTTTATTTATGAAATTAAATATATTAAATACATATTTTAAGAGTCAATAAACGATAATAATTAATTACTTACTCCACCTCCCTAAAATGGTATTAAAAAAACATAATCAGAAAAATTGTGTAGTATTTTCAATAAATCATTCATATTAATAATAAAACTGTTTCGTATAATTCTAATTTAATAAAACATAATTACTTACTGGTAGCTAAAATTTGATATATACAATGATTAACATAAAAACATGCGCTTTGTCAAAAACATATATAATATTACACATATATATTTAAAAATCATAATTACCGTTATCTGTTTAAAATAAAAATTGTATTATATATTGAATTTAAAATACCAGATATATTAAATTTATATGGATATATACTTACATTTTTCTGTTAAAACATTAAAATAAATTGCATTAATTAATTAGTATAGCATATATTAACATTTTTTTAATAATATATAGAAATATAAAACTTACCATTTCCTACAAAAACGATATTATTTCAATAAAAAGAAATAAATATATCCAGAATTTACACTTTTTTGTAATTTTTTTTAAATCTACTGACCTTTATCTGAAACATATATATATTTTTTATTTATTTCATAAAGTAAGAAACTATCGTATTTCAAATGAATTCAATATAATAAATAATAAAATTAATATACCTTTAACTGAAATAAAAAAAAATAATTATAATTAATTAATTTATTTGACATAAATAATTTTGATTATAATTTTAATGTTTGAAAGTTTTTTAGATTGTTGAAATACTAGAAGTGAAAACAAATATTTTACGATATTTTTATTATATTAGAAAGAAGAACACAAATAACTTTATAATAATATTCGATACAATTCTTCTATTTATTAAAACAAAACTAAAAACAATTTTTAACAAATAACTTTCAACTATCTTGAATTAAACTTATCATGAAATCTGTATATAACACAAATTAAAGATTGGAATACTATGAAAATCTAGGAAAGATTAATTTATTATACGAACAACAGAGTCTTGATCTCTTGACTACTGCTTATATGTGGCTCTTTCTCTCCTAACCTCATATATTCCTAAAATATATGTATATATGTATATATATCGATACCTCCCACGTAAGTGGTTGTATCTCCAAAACTATAATTTTACAGTAGAGCGTTTCAAAGATTCAAATCAAACCAAAATCTACATATTTTATTGATGAATCTTTTTAATATTTCGTATATTAATTTAACATAATAGTCTTCCTAACAACGTTAAAAGATATTTTAATTAATTTGCCTATTTGCGGAGATATTGTTTATTTTAGATTATAAATACATATATATCATACACTTCATTGTATGTAAAATACTTACTGGTTTCTGCAATATTAATATTAATTAATATAAAAAATATCCAAAAAAACTAATTGTATTGTATAAAAAGACATACCCCCTTTTCTGCAATTATTAAAAAAATATATTTTTTATTGTTTTCTTATTAAATAATTCGTTTTTTATAGGTAATAATATATATGTGACTTACTTCAGTAGTGTTTCATGTAAGAAAGAAAAGTTAATTAATTTCAACTTAATGAATTCTCATAAAATTATAATTAAATAGATTATTCAAATATTACAAAAAAACTTCTGAACGACTTACGTATTTATCCTTTAAATAAAGATAAATTTATAATAATCAAATATGTTTATGTATATTAAAAATTATTTTAAAATATATAAAATAAATGCTTTATTTTCCTCTTGCATTTTATAAATTTACAAAGATAATATTTATTAAACAAAAAAATCACTTATACTTTTTTTAACTCACCGTGTACTAAAACAAAAATTATAAAATAATATATAAGTTATATAAAAAAATAAAAAAAATATTTAATACTTTAATATAAATTCAATATTATTATGGCAATAAAAATACATACCACATTCTATAAAAGAAGTTATTATTATTAAATAAATAATTTTCTATATTAATTTATTTTACTTTT